ACGCTGGCCTTGTAATCCTGGGGTCTCGGGTTCGATTCCCGGCGGTGCCCGAATTTCTAACTTGTGTTGGGCAAGGCCGTGGCCTAGGCAACACGGAGTTTTCCTCATTGGCATCCCAACAATTACTCCATTCACACTCACACAGAAGAAGGCAATGGCAAACCCCTTCTGGATCATCTGCCAAGAACGTATATGAACAGGTCCCAGTCCGAGAAAAGGATGGAAGGATCCTGTTCATATGGACCTGTCGTCAGACAGAACACTAAATAAATAAAAAGTAAGTTATATTTCTGTAGAATGCTTAATTTATCCTTTCCTTCCAGATGAGCTTTGTCTTCACATTTTAATTTCTATTGTACGGTGGGTATGTATTTCAATAGAACAAGGCGTCTTTCTGAAAAACCCACGTATTGCTTCAGAAAATTATTTCTAATTGGAAGGAATATTACATGTATTTACATTTCTGATATTGTTAGATTCATATTTTGAAAATATTTTGATTTTTTAAGTGTGTGTACTGGAAAATAATGCATCATTTAAACTTCTCTCCATCTGACAAATGACTGTAGAATTTTGTTCCTTCTACGCATGCGCAAATACACAAATTCGGCCATCTTTTCTATTCCAGAATACACGGATAGGGGAAGGTGGGGCAATTTGGCGATGCTAATGAGATTTATTATTACTTTAGTAAGTTCAGTCGTGTAACTAAGTAACGTACATGGGCAGAAAATGTTACTGAATTTACTTTGTTAGCAAAAAATAAATAAAAAAGGGAACACTACACAATTTTTATGTAATGAGACTTACGTGTTCGATAACAATACTCGCAATTAATGTTTTGCGGAATGAAAATTATATTGAATTAATTCACGAAGTTTCTTTACAATTCACAAGGAACGAGAATGACTCATATTGACCGTCAGATTACGCCAACAGATGGCATGAAGGAAAATATGCCAAGTTTAAAAATGTTCCAGACATAATGATTCCTATAAGCCTAAATATAAGGTACGACGAACAGAGTCAACAGATGGCATGAAGGAAAATATGCGAATATGCCAAGTTTAAAAATGTTCGAGACATAAAGATTCCTATAGGCCTAAATATAAGGTACGACGAACAGAGATTTGAGGTTATTTGAGAAATATTTGCTGAGGAGAAAATTTTAAGCCCCTTTGAGCTTCAAACCTGTGGCGTACTCTTCACATAAGCGTCTTAGGATGGTCAAATCAAGGTGAATGAGATGATTGGACATGTAACATGCATGAAAGAGATGATAAATGCGTACACAGTTTAAAATCCGGAACGGAGTAGACGGGGATTATGTTAAAATACCGAGATAGTGCCTTAAATTAGGCCACGGCCACTTCCTTTCTAATTCATAATTCACTACCATCATCTTATTCGACGCAATGTAGTCTGAGCTCCTCAAAAGCTTCTGTAAATAAAATAATATTAAAATTAATCTTAAAGGAAATGAGTTGGGAGGGTAGATTGGATTCTTCTGGCTCAGGACAAGGACCATTGGGGTGGGGGGATCTGGAAATGTCTTGACCAATGCAATTCGTAATTATTTCCACTCATGTTGGCATGTTATTAATTACGTGGAGCAGAATCCTATTGACAAGCTGATAGTCGTTTATTTATTAAAGAATCTCGTTTTTTATGGACCTCCAAGGTCTATTCTCGTGTTCGCAGTCTCGACAGAAGACGTATACATACGCGTAGGAACGTGATCCTACGTTCTAAATATGGAGGCTCGCCGTTCTGCCTTAGTTCAAAATTCATCGTGTTCATTAGCACAAAGGAAGGCCGAGATAAAATCAGCTTAGGGTGTCATCATATCAAAATGTATACATTTAAACCTCTCTTACCATTAACTTCTAAATTACCTTTGCAAATTTTCACGAAAACATGAATGAATTCATTGCTTGAACATCCCCGGACTTAATAATCGTCTAAATATGGGCGTAACTTAAAACCTGATTGAATTGAAGAAGTAACTTGCGATAAATATGTCACTGTGCGTGTATTTTATTCACAAAGGACGTATCTTCAAGCATTAATATGAACTTCATGTTTACAGACGTGAGCTTACGAAACGTCCTTTATTGCGAAAATCTGTGCATTTTGCAAATAATTTAATGAAGCATTTCGCACGTCAATAAACTGTTGTGTCATTCTATTTTTGATTTTAATTTCGTGTGTTTATGGTTGTATTTCACTTTTAAAATCAACAGGTTAGTTTTTAAATTCTAATTTTTTAAGTCTCTCATTGTACATACTTTAGACGTGTCCTTTCCAATTTTGTTAACTTAAAACAGGACAAATTGTTTATGTCTCATACAACGCCATATTGGAATTTTATGTTTTATTTAAAGGACGATTTGTATATGCAATAAATTTACGTTAAATCCATTAAAGTATGCAAAATAGCAAGGAACGCGTTCGAGAAATATTGTTGATCTACTCAGTTTTTATAAAGTAGATGTTTCTGTTTTTATCCACAAAGACATATTGATCTGTTTCTTGTGACGCCTTAAGCCTTAAAACTGAAAATTTGACGCAAAATTTGCATTTCAGCTGCAACATTTTTTTAAGGTGTTAAACAGTCTGACCTCTTACGCTCCGGAATTAATTATCTGAGATGTGAATATATTCGACTCTACGCACTGATACAGAATTTGTTTACACGGCACACGAATTCTAGAAAATCCAGATTTACCTTTACATTTACAGTTCTTACATTTTTCTGGTGGAATATAAAAACGAAATTGAGATTTGAAGATATTATTTATTTAAACATCGGATTATTATGTGTTGAAAATGGTTTAAAGATCGGTGTAGTAAAATGGTTGACCTAATTCTTAATAATGCAGGAGTCAATGATGAGTTGTGACGTCAGATAAAAGACCTACATTTTTCAACTATTTCGTGATTATATTTAACCTGTAAGTAGGCCGCTAGCAATCAGATCCAGCTCACCGTGTTAGGGCTAACTAATAGGTCTGACTTCTCGCTGTAGGGCAGTTTGCTTTGGGACCTGCGCGGTTAAGGCAATCTGAGACGTCGACGCTAGCGGTCTCTAGGCGCCGTTAAAACTAACCACTGGCGTACTTCCGTGTCCCACTTCTGGTCCAGACTTCGTACTGTCAACACTGAAGTAGTCCTTCTTGCCCTGCTACAATGGCCGTAAGTGTTTTGTTATTATTACCACTACTACTACTGTAAACTCCACAATTATCGTTAAGTTCACTTCATTATTGAATCCAGATTGTATTTGAATGTCATTGTCATTGAGTAAAATTTTAGTCTTACTCGACCAAAATGTAATTAAAAAAAGACGATAGAAAATTTGACTTAATATAAGTTGACACAAAACTGACCAGATATAATTTGTTCAGCAGCAGCTGCAAGGATATGTTATTTTATTCTGTGATATACAAGTGACAACTTAATTATAATTGTTTGTGCCCGATTGTTGTTTAATAATGTGCCATTCGCTTTCTGTCTGTTGTAGAGTGACCTCAGCGCACGAGATATCGAGAGTGAGTATCGAAGTTGTGTCTGTGATTTAGTGGTGTGCAATTTAGTGTTCCGTGGTTATGTTGATTCACGTCCCCAATTCGAATTTAATGTTTTTAGGTTACGTTTCACATTTAAATTTATTGTCACCGCCGAAGTTTTCATATTCTACTATCATGCGTTGGTACGATTTATAAACGTGAAGCCAATTTCTATTCTGTAACTTCAAATTGTGTTGGTTGTTGAATCATTTCTTGTGTTTAACTGATGGTTTTATGAAACGCAGTGCTTGGTCTATAATAAATATAACCAAATATTATCCAAATAGGTAGCGTCCTCAGGAACATCTGCTTGCAGTCAAACATTAATTCATTGGTTGCACATCTTTCAGAAAATAAATCCAAATTTTAGAGCTTTTAATACTATTTCAGTTATCCAAACGAGAGTATTATTCTCGCTGGGATCGCGTGATCCAGTATTATTATGATGACTAAAAAAACCTTGTCGCTAATGACGAAAAAATTAAAAACTAGTACTGAAAACACCAAATCATTGTATCGAAGAGTTATTACATTTGTTGGTCAGTTCAGGGTCTTCTCAATTTGTGCTGTTCTGTCAACAGTCAGTTTCCGATGAAGAAATTAATCAGTAGAGAAGAAGGATTCATGTATTTCGCAAAGATTATTAGAAATATACATTAGACTGCAATTCGCTAGTTATTAAAAACATAATTAAGGTACAATTAATAATAGTCTTGTGTTGAAGATACGTGTCTCCTTGTGTTATTACATTTCCTGCGGTATAATAATGGCTTTAAAAATGACCCTATTGTCGTAAAAAAGAGATGTATTAAGAATAAATAATTTGTTCTGTTTTATAAAATTGGGCATGTGCGATCTAATAATGCCTCGAGAGTTTTTGGTGCAACACACTGTATCGTAACTAATATGAGTAGTTGATTTTATGAAATTATACAAGAAAATAACTCCCAATTCACAGTGGTACAAAAATAATAAGTGAGAAGGTGTTGTAAAAATTTAAATAAATTCATTAACAACTCTTTAGAACGTGAATTATTTTTCCAGTGCATAAATTGCAAAGATTTATTGAATTTATTTGCCGGCGTCTATCAGCTGCTCCCCGGACGTCTGAAAATACTCGCCTTACCCCGTTCCTAATTTTAGCGTCGCGTCTCCAGCGCTTAATATGGAGCAGGCGATAGCTGTGACGTCACCGTGTTAAACTTGGATCAACTCGAGACTCTAGTTCGCTCCGTAGTAGTAGTTTGTTATCGACGAAAATTATTTTGAGTTGTTGCTATTACTAGGCGGTGAAAAATTGTGGGTACGGTTGATCGGCATTTGCATTATGGATAATGTTACTTATGATATGGGACACAGCCTTCAAATTTATTCTACGGAGAAAATGTTATCAACCAGAAGAATTTGAAAATTTTTTACATGTCGTCAGTCAGAATATGAGTTGAATACAAGGTTCAGTCACACTACATTTAGATTAAATAAATAACTCCATGGAGAACGGACTTTAAGAGACGTAGTCGGTCAGCTAGCTTATAAATTCCTTTTTTTAATGGATCCTAGAGGCTCCTTACAACATTTAATAAAGTTTCGTATCTCGCAGTATATTTTTTTCACATCTATCTTAGCATTAGCCTGCATCTACGTCTGGGTCTCACATGTGTTCTCTTTCCTTTGGAGTTTCGTTCAAAATCTTAATTTAAATTTCTACCGTGCATGTTACATGTCTTGCCCATCTCAGAGTCCTTGAACTTATAAGACGTGTAATATTTAGTCTACAAATTTTGAGGTTCGTCTTTAATCAATTTCCTTCATCCTCCTAGTGCGTATATTTTGGTTACGTCCGGTAAAATTGCCTTCTTTGGCGGAGTATTCTCGGAATTTGTTTATAAAAAATTTTCCCCTCGCGTGAGATACGACATTTCATAGATCACTCGTCCTTCAGACATTTTCCCCTTTCGTCCACATTGTGATCGGCGTGGGGTGGGATGAATGTCGACCTTGAATTTGAAAAAGTAAAAAGTTCAGCAGTCCCATTATATTACTTTGTAGAATTTATCTCTTGATGTTACATTTCATTTTCTCTGTGTTTGGTTTCTCCCTTTGTTGATTTCGCCGCTTGTGCTGTGCTTTGCTCCCTGTTCGTATTTTCATGGCCCTCTGTAATATTCCAGGAGCGAACTTCGCCTTCTCTATCTATGACTTCGAAGGTAACAACACCGTTGATGCCTTCTACGTTGGCGACATCTTGCGCGGGCTTAACCTCAACCCAACCCTGGCCCAGATCGAGAAGGTTGGAGGCACTAAGAAGAGGAGTAAGTAATAAAGATGGCCGAGTGGAAAGTGGTCACCTCATTCGCGTTTTCGTAGTTGGTACCTCATTCGCGTTGTTGAAGTTGGCAATCTGCTTCGATTTCAGAAGTGTTTTGTTTTAATGTGCGATCTGTTATTATTTTGTGTGAGGGTTTCTTATTAAAATATGTGGCCTGTTATTATATCTGAAGGCTTTTCCCTCCTTGCAAAATCGTGACGGCAGCTTCTCTAGGCATCCTTCTTAATTATGTATATCAGAAACGTCTCGTTTGATTACATACATAACCAGCTGCTTTCTAAATAATGATGCGTCATTAAACAAATCACTGGAAAACGGTGTTAGGTTAGACGTAGACATTATTGAATAATTTGTTTATGCAGGTTATAAGAGGCGCATTTAGAAAACAAACAGACAAACTGGAAGAATTTACGTTAACAAGAAAATCTCACCAATTACAAATACATGTAAGCAATAGTGGTTATGCTTTCTTTTGTTTTTGCAGTAATACTGCAGTTGACTTTAAATTAATGTCATAACTACGTAATTTGTATGTGTATTAGAAACAAGTATTGTATTTGTTGTACGACATGTTCGTCCTTGGCGTGGGCCTATGATGGACCTGTGGAATGTAGATAAATTCTATTCTCTATTATCTTATAATAGGATAATATAACATGGAAATACCAACTTCAAAAAACAAGGGCTCTGACATTCCAAAGTAAGTCACAAATAAGAGCGAAAATTGTGTTATGTGAGAAATCAATTGAACAAGTCAATGGGCAACATTAAATACCTTTGATCTGCTTTAAATCTTAGCACTGTTAATGATTTTGACATAATACTAAGTAATGTTCTATATATGTGTACTAAGAAGGCTAAAGGACATGCTGTCATAAAATGTTGTAAAGTAGGCTGTTCCCACGTTGCTGTGTGTCATAACTAAACAATAAGAGAGCTGAATTGAAGTTCTTAGAGCCTTTAGCATGTTATATACTAATGAAGCAATGAGACAAGAAATAAACATGTAGGTTTTGATAACGGTGAGTCTGAAGATGGCTGTCTTCTGGGTTGTTACGCCATGTAGTCTGGGAGAGGTTTACTAACATTTCAGAGGTCCTTGCAGGCTCAGTCATTAGGGTGATGATAGAGGCAGCAAGGGCCTCTGAAACGTCGGTAAACTTCTACCAGACTATATGGTGTAACAACCCAGTATACAGCTGTCTTAAGAAAAATGTCTTAGACAAACAGCTGAACATTATATGATCTGGTTCCACCACATATGAAGAATGGATGAAAGAGTTAATAAAATATTTTACCTGCATTCAGCAGAAGGTACCATAAGAAGAGGTGATGGAAGGATCGAACAAGATAATACAGGGGTTATCAACCTGCATGCCTTGAGTCACATGTGGCTCTCAAACATGTTGTGTGTTCCCTGCGTACTTGTTTGTAGTGTTGTATCTTCCTATTCTATTCATATAGTAGTTATTACACATATTAAATAATATTTTAATTTTAAGTGAATAATTAATGGAAACAAATATTTTAACGAAGATCGCGGGGTGAAACGTGAACCTCTTTGTTATAGTAAATTAGTAGCATTTTAAATCAATTATATAGTGACACATTAACCTATTTGCAATGTAGTAAATTAGTGGAATTTTAAATAAATTTCCATAAAATTTCAAAAATTGAACTTAATCTGTGATGTTTCATCAGTGGGAATTGTGCCCAAGTTAATATGGATACAAAACAAATGTACTTGAGCGAAATAAAATCTCAGGATTGAAACGGTTAATGTCGAAGATACAAAGAGAGCCATAACGTGAAATCTGGTCTGTCACGTCTCTTTATCTGTGTACGTGAATTCCGGTGGAAAAGAACGCGTGACAGGAGTTGAATTTTCTTGCAGATGAGAAGAAGCTCAAAGTGGACGAGTTTCTGCCCATCTTTGCACAGGTCAAGAAGGACAAAGATGTAGGGTGCTACGAGGACTTCCTGGAATGTCTCAAGCTGTACGACAAGGCTGAGGACGGCAAGATGCTTCTCGCTGAGCTCACGCATATTCTGCTTTCTCTCGGTTAGTGGACCAACAGCTGTACGCACAGAACAATTGACTTGAACATCATTTCATCAGTGCCAACATGGAGGCCATGCATAATTGTGATGGAGCGATAAGCATCGAAAGAAACTGGTTGGGTTGAACCAGCCCATACTTTCTCAAACTCTTTTGTTCCTTTCCCTAAATCTCCAGCCGTTTCGTCATTATTCTCCCAGAAATATTGGGCTGGCTGACAAAGAATAACCTACTTTCTTAATTATTGTTGTTGTTTTTCAATCACACAATATATATATATATATATATATATACTCATGCAAGGTACATTGCCGTCTTTTCGCTGTTTAACTGTGGCAATATATCCCTGAGTTTATCTGCTTTCTAATATGCTTCGAGCAGAAATGCTTCCAAAAGAAATATAAGCCGAGCCATCAATGTAAATGAAAGCATAAAAGCTGTAAAGAGCGAGAAAAATGAATTTGTTCATGTATCGTGGGAAAGCTGTAGTGATGTGATGATTCCGTTGCAGGCGAGCGACTGGGAGATAAGGAAGTAGACGACATCGTGAAGGACTGTTGTGAGGCTGAGGATGAAGATGGATTCATAACATATTCTCGTATGTTTCTTGCTTATACCGCTGTTTATCGCACGTTGCACTCGATCCATTTGCTAGCTCTCGGCTCCAGACAGAACACTGAGATATGTGACGCTCTTTTTCATGCGATGCACCTGGGCACAGATTTGTGAGCGATGTCCGACGTAACAGCCGGCTCTCAACATTGCTGCTTCTAATTATATACCGTGTTCGGAATTGACGCGGTTCAAAATTTTTTGCTTTCGCAGTCATTTTATTGAAGGAATTTTTTTTCTTTCAAAAATGATGCCTTTATTTTATTAAGATGTGGTAGGTGCCATTTAAAAGTTCCTTGATACTTTTATGAAAATTCTATAAATAAGTTCATATTCTGACTTCTTTGTTATAAGCACACAAAACTAAAACAGATGAACACAGGGTGGTTGTAAAATGTGTGCTTTTGTTTTTTAATTGTAACATTTTCACATTCCCAGATAATATATTTTTAGTTTTTGGAGATTTAATATCATCTTGCGTCTTCCGTAGCGAATTCTAAAGGTGAATATAGACTTGTACAGGGAGGGTTTGATACCCAAGGGGGGCAGAGGATTTTTTCTCTAGCCTCTGCGTCCAGACCGGCTCTGGGGTCCACCCAGCCTCCTGTCCAATGGGTAACGGGGGTTTGACTGCGCACACAGAAGTGACTGCCATAAACCAGACATTTAAATGTGACAGCGTAATCGTATCCTGTGCACAGGTGCATTACATTTTATGTATGGAATGAGGAGTTAACACGATATCCCCGTTATATGATTGCTTAAACCGAGAAAAGTCTCCCGGTAAATAGGCGAAATTTTCCTTGTACTGTGACGATGCAATAAAAGGAAATGTTCGATACTAACTCGTGTGGGTAAAGCTCAAAAGTAGTAGTTTAATTTCTTTAACTTAATTTTTACAGATATTAAAATATTAAGCGAACTCTTAGTTCATTTATAGTATAAAGTCACTTTAAAATTGATCACGTGATTGCTTTTAACATAAACAGTGATCAGTTGTTTGCGTTGTTATTAACATAGAACTTAATCTTAAGTGTATCGTTTAGAATTGTTGTCATATAAAAACTTTACGTGCATTTCGCTTATCTTCAAACATTAAGTAATCTGCTGGTTTATTTACATTCTGCAAATTAGTTTCTACTTAAGATCAGATTTTTGTATTGGTACTAAGAACAGACATAGTGCTTATGTTAGTTGTTAAAGCATCGCTTGCATTGCAAACTTCAGTGGTAATTAAATTTAAGTAAATTGGAGCAATTAGCGTAGAAAATCCCTTCAGTAAATTGTTTGATTGTTGCTAGTGTTTGATAATTCCCTTAAATCAGTGGTCCCCAACCTTTTTGTGCCTACGGGCACATTCGAGAGTTTATGAGATCGTGGCGGGCGCCAACCGATTAACAAAGCCAAATTTTCTTTTCTCTGGACAAATAAAATATGGACACCAAAAAATAAACAAAACAACACGACGTTTAATGATACAAGAAACCACGCAATCAGAAATACGTATTTTTATAAGTACAATTATTATTACTCAAGTGGGAAGTTAGTGCGATGTTTGGCGCTGCATTTCATCGGCCAGTTTTTCAAATTTGGGAGTGTAGGATGATGTTGTTCGCAAACAATCGTCAAGATGGGCGTCAGTAAGTCGAGATCTGCGCTTTGATTTTACGATGTTCGTGGTTGAACGGCCTTCATTATTCAGTATAACCTCTTTCCGTATCAACGCGGGCACCCAAAAAGAGCCTTGGCGGGCCCCATGGCGCTCGCGGGCACCACGTTGGGGACCACTGCCTTAAATGAATTGTTTGATTGTCGATAGTTCCGATATCCCTTATCTCAGTAATACCAAGGATGAAATACGTTAGTTATTGCTTGTGATGAAACTCCTTCATTTGCTTGAAGTCGCATGTTGAATGGGACCCCAGTACAGTAGAGACTGACTCGTCTCAAACATCCAGGACATGGAAAAAGATTAGAAATTGTTCAGATGAGAGCATTAATGATAAAATCCTTATTGTTGACTGTTAACCAACCCATGTTTGGGGATAGCAGCCTCCCTATGTAGCATTGTTTGAGTGTGATGTGCCCTCCTGTTTTCAGCATTTCTCAAAAACGTGTTGGCGTAAGCAACCCGAAGGTCGTCAGCCGTAAGTATAGCATCTGTTGATAATATGTGGGCTTGTCTTGCAGGTTAAAGCAACGTCTTTCTAACACGATTAAAACCTTTGTTTTACTTCAGCTATTGCCGAGTGGACGCAGAGTCATGTGGATTTTAAATTAATGTATAAATTGGTAATACTGATCCGGCAGTATTTTGAATGGATGCCGCAGTGAAACCACGTTATACAGACAATTTATGTTGTTTTGTTTCTTCCTTTTGTGCTTTTTTCACGTGGTTTCTTCGTATAAAAGTATCGCCAGTGACATTTGGAGTGTCGTGGTATTTTTGAAGAATTTTATTTTACTTTGAAATTGAGGGAATACATTTTCATAAAGTAATAATTTATTCCTCACTTCTTTTTTGCCATATTATATATTTTGTTACTAGTATAATGAAGCGCGTATATTTATCATCGCTACAGTGAAAGCATGCAGTAACACTCTATCCTGAGCTAACAAAGTTGTATTAAATTAATATATTTTTGTTACTTCCCACGTGTCGTCGACGCAGTTTTGCGGAAATTATGCCGCCAACGTGATTTCTTTTGCAACGCTATCCCGCTATTACAGACACGTGTAACAGTTTTAATTATGTTTCTAAACATTTTCGTGATGTGTTTTGAAGAATTATCGCAAAATAAAGTGTATATAGGTTTTCTTAAATGCAAAACTAACCATTAATGCGCCACTAACTTGGCAGAGCTTTGTCTAATGATGCAACAGCAGCTTTGAAGTGAAGTCTCTGTATCTGAAAGTTTTGGTGACGCTGTACTGAGTATGACGGAGAATAACCTGCTTATAACTTTGGGGAGTATCGTTAAAGCGTATTAAGACATTTTAAACCTTTTTTAAGTCAGTGGATTAAATGTGAGTGTATCCTGTATGGGACTGTGATTACGGAAACAGTTTATTTATTTGAGTATGTCGTTCGCGGAATGAACTGTGGTTGAAAAGAAAATCAATCCCAAAATGTGGAAAATCACGTCGTTGGAACTGATAAGTTCGTAAATGTCGAACTGTGAATGTCTGTATATTCGCTGTCCTAACACCTGAAAGGTTTAGTTGAATGTATTTTCTCTCTCTCTCTCGATATTTTGAGTTTTAATGTCATACAAATAAAATAAAGATTTCCACTCGAAAGCAAAACCACATTTTTTAAACAAATTGAGAAACTTTAATTTATGAGAATTGTTCAGAGAGATGCTGTATTCTACTGGTCTGATATTTTAAAAAAATTGTGGATGTCATCTAAGAGCGTCTTTTTCTTGCATGTTAACGAGACATTTGTACAAAAGTAATTATTTTAAATCATTCGTTTCTTTGCGTGAGATACTGCCATTCTGAACGCTGAATATCGACACAGAATGCCTTCATGTAATTTTATTTATTTACTGATTTTTTTTTTTCCGCAAACTTTTGAAGTACCAACAGTCTATGAATATAATCACCGGATAAGAAAATAAAAAAAAATTGAAGAAAAATATATTGGGAGGTTGGGTTGAACATTTTCATTTTATGTATATATTATCACATTTTTTTATATTATACTGCAGCTTTCCTGAAGAAGGTTGTTGCCGGGCCAGATGTTGAAGAAACACCAGCGCCTGCACCTGCAGAGTAAAATCAGGTCATGATACCGACAATGGACCGTGTACAATGTTGGCGACAGTGCCGTGTTCCATCTTGAAGTGCGGGCAAGAAGTCAGTGTTTGTGTTACGGACACGGAGGGCAAAGAGGCTTCTTGTAATGTCTTTATATATAACCCAATGTGATTATAATAAATACATTATTGGAAATTGTTGCAAACAGACCATCATTAAGCGGAAGCTTAAAAAGCAGGAGCCATGTTACGTCATGACATCACCTGTGATACTCGTAAGATATTATTATTAAAATCAACAGTCATGGCCCTGAGGGATATCCGATTTGAGTTATTCTTTAGAAGCTGATTGTCATTCAGCTGGTGAACAAAGTCCCTACCTATTACGGACCGCGGAGATTCGTTACCATGTTCACAAGAGCACGTCACTCGATCTTATTCCGAGGCAGATCAGTTCAGTCCACATCAGATCATATTTTAGACAAATTTTATCATTCACATCTAATCTATGATCCGTCAAGCGATCCTTCCGTGTATTTCTGGGTTGAATGCCCTGGTGGACGGTTCTCGACACGAAACCCGTCGCACAATTCAGGGACAGTGAGAAATAAATAAAATAAAATTGGTCACTACTGATGCAGATATTTTATATTTATTTATAGTTTATTTAAGATGCTTTTTCAGTAGCTTAAATTATATAGCATCAAATGGGAGGATGATTGTGAATTGGAAGGGATGTGGAAGGAAGTGGTCATGGCCTAATTTAAGGCAGTGTTCTGCCATTTGCTTGGAGGGACTGAGGAATACTATGAAACGTCTGACTCAAGATAGCCAGGCCAAGATTTGAACCCAGGCCCTCCCGAATACGAAGCGGAAGTGCTATCCACTCGACCATGACGTTTGGTACTTACGAAGGCTTGATTATACATTGCTTTGAAGAATAGCTAAAAAAATAGAACTTCCGAAAGAAATGTAATTTTCTTACCGACATTCAAACACAAAAAATTCTTTTAACTCATATTTTCCGAATATGTACAGTAGAATGCACTGCTTGATATTCGTGAGGTCCCGGGTTCAAATATTGGCCTGGCGACTGGCTGTCCTGACTGAGGTTTCTCCAGGCGGCCTTCAGACGGATGTTGGGATAGCAAATGAGATCATAACCGCTTTATTCCACATCCTTTCGATTCAATTATTCATTAATTAGCCCTTCATCTGATGCCATATATAGACCGAACTACTGAAAAAGCATCATTAAATAAACCATGAATATATGATAAGAAAAAGTTCTTATTTTTATAACTGCACCCCTTATTTTTCTGGTAACTTTTTATAATCAGGTGTGATAGGGTCTTAGAGGTCAATGACATATGTAGCAAATCTTGCGTTGAAGGTTTGTGTCTTTTATTCCTACTTAATGCGTTTCCTCACACGTGTCCTACAGGTCAGTGTTGTGCGGAACATTCTAATTTGTCAGAGGCACACCACAAAATCTCGCCTCGTTAAGCTGTAATAGAAATAAAGTGAAAAAATACAGGAATTGTAAGAAACATTAAGCATTGTTCGGTACTTGTGGATAGTAAATGACAATTTTTAGCACCTTCCACAAAATGCTCGAGTTTGCAGTAGATTGATTGTGCACCTGGTAGTTAGGTCACATGATTACCCCTTCGTAATGCTTCTGAGTAATTGGCAATTTCTCAGGGTAGGATTTACAGCTGAAACAAGACTCGGACGAGTTAGTTCTTGAGAGGTAACTTTCAAATAATGAATAGTATAATACCTTATTTCCTCGATTTTAAGACGAAAACTTGATTTAGTAATAGTTTTTCAGGTAAAAAAAATTGTAAAAATTATATTCCAATTACAATCTGATTTACATTACTTAAACAAGACAACATTATAAGTAAAGTTGTCTTAGCCAAGATAATGGACGCAATCTTTTATTGATGAAAGATTCTCGGGGTACAAGCCGCGTCTTGTGGTTAAATGGTGAAAAATTTACTGACGTTTCAGAGTTCCTTGCTGCCTCCACCATCAGGGCGATGGCAGGCTGCGTCTTGTTTCGACCACGTGTTGTACTTAGGCATGCTTGTGCTACCCGCCCTCTGCGAGCGGAGACCGAAACTAATTAGTTGTAGTCGGAAGTGAGCCACACCTCCTTAGTAGCCGCGCGCGGACGGTTGCTTGTTGTTCACAGCATAAATAGGATCAGTGTGTTTATGACTTTGTCGTGTGAAGTGTGGTGTTATTACAATTGGATTTAACAATGACGGAACCACCAAGTGATATTGCAGAAGCATCACCATCTCCTGCAACGATAAATACAGGTAAGCAGGCATTTATTTCAAAACTTAACCGTTTGTGTACAGAAACTGAATTTGAGATGTGGGCTGAAATCATACCCATTATGAGGAGAAGGGCAAAAGAATGTATCGTAACAAGGGTTTCATTGTGGTAAAGTGTGTAGCATGTACCCCAGAACTAAGGAGTGTTAGTGCAAGAGTGAACAGCGGATTTTGTTATGAAGCTATCGGCTGGGCCGACCTGTTAGGCGGGAGGATTTGAGAAATGGGTAAAATCTAACCTAACTTTTATAAACGTGTAAAGTTACGCAAATGAATTTTACTTTACTTTGATCAACGTTCACTCCTAAGCATTTTCTTTAAAAAAAAAGGTGGAAAGTGACGTCATGCACAGTTAATTTCAGAGCCCATTCTCCATTTGAATAGAATTTATTACTTCCATCACGGTCTGAGGCAGTGGGTTGGATTAACGTGCTGTGGGTAGGGTCTAGTCCCTGGCGCATGTGGAGATGGTAATTAACCACTGGACTGTATAAATGCGGAGGTATTCCGAGGTTAGCTCAGCGACTGTGACCTATAAAAGCACTCTACTCCGTGAAGTCTGTAAAAATGCTCGTAATAATGTTTGTTTGTTTGTTTGTCATCAGTCTTTCGACTGGTTTGATGTGGTTCATAATAGTTGGAATTAATTTATCTGTGACATTTCGGTCACGTGAACTTTTAGTCCCGTCCAGGTGTTTTTATAATGATTGTAAAATGATTACCACGACTGATGATGATAATAATAATAAGAATAATGCATGTAATACATACTAAAAACAAAATGTATTTCGGGAATAGCTGCATGGGTCTTGATGTTTGTTTATTTCTGTGCGTGTTGCATCAACTGCGTAGTTTTCTCTGCTGAAAGCATCGCATGGAGTTTTAAATGTCTGTTTCGTTAAGTATATTCACGATATCAGAAAAAGAAGTCGTAGATCCAACGGCGTGAGATACTTAATAAAATTAAACGTTTCCCGCAAGACTCAGAGTGCATGCCGATATAAAATCCATTCGAAATCCGTGAATGAATTCCGTGGATAAACGTAAGCCTAATTTTATCAGTTTCGTGCAAATAACTCGTGAAAAAATGATTAGGTGATTTCTTGGAAATAAATATATTTCGGATCGAGACGTAGTGACAGAATGATATTAAAATGGATTATAAAAATATTGTTTGTGTGAAAGTAAGCGACATAATTTTACAGGGACGATTATGGATAAAAGTGTTTGTTGTTAAAGCTAGAAACAGTATATAAATAATTAAATTAATAAATAAAAGTGTTGGTTTGTTATAATTTTTTTAAAATCAATTTTAGATTCCAGGCAATGCTGGAAACATTACAGTATACCTTCCGCGAAAGATTTATAAATTAGCTGTTATTATTAATCTTCTTATTAACAATATTCAACCACGAATTTTGCCGAAATTAATAAACACACGTTCTAAACATCGTTTTCCTTCCTATTGAACCGTCTATCGGAAACTGTTCACAGATCAGCAAACATTTACGAACTGATCAAACAATGTAAATGCCTGCGAAATATGTTGAAATAAACATTGTTGTGTAAGAAATAAGATAAGAACGCAACAATGCTCACTGTTTGCTATCTTCGTGTCATTCTTGACGGGTATTTCTCGAATAACTAATATTATTTAAATTAAGAATATTAAACTTACTAAAGACTTTTAATTATAGGAAAGGGATGTACATGAAACTCCCTGGTATAAGAACCCGCAGGTTCAACACCGACAATACCAAAGCCCGCCACCGGCCACGATCCTGAGCCAAACTCCATCCATTTTCCATCCTCACAGCCCACTTCCCTAAGATCCATCTTGATATTATCCTGCCATCTCCTTCTCGGTCTACCCAGTTGTCGTTTTCCAGAAGGATTTTCCACTAAAATCCTGTATACACCCCTTGACTCAACCCCCCCCCATGCGTTCTACATTTCCAACCCATCCGAGCCTCATATATTTCGCTATCCTCACTGTGATAGGTGAACCGTACAATTCACGTAGTTCCTCGTTACGAAATATTCGAAATTCCCCCACTTATTCCAAATATCCTCCAGAGCGTCTTGTTTTCAAACACCTGTAATCTACGTTCTTCTTTCAAGGTCAGGGACCGTGTTTCACGCTAAATCCACTCGGTGCGTGAGACTTTAGGTTGGCAAGGCGATCCAATGTTGGTATCAATGACGGTCGTAAGTACGTTACCCTGAAACATTGGCACACAGCCAAAACACTACGCGACGTGCAACTCGATTCGTCTTATCTGTCTCAGGTCAGAATATCCTCGTCAGTTGATGCGTGGTCCTTGAGCGTCTCAACTGCTGGTACTAAAATAACAGCTTTTGGGTTCCGCCCTGATTATTTCAAATTTATAACTCGCTAATCATCCTTGATTTCGGTTTACGAGCGTTATGAGTGCCATTGTTAGAATCAGATAACGGACAAGACGATGCTCACTTGTTTTTCTCTCCATAATGGGCCAGTGTTGCCAATGTTTGCACTGCAGAAGAAAATGTCTTACGATCTGAACGTGCATTTTCGCGTTCTGCCCTGAGCGAAGAAACAAACAATGAATCACTGGGGTCGTTGTTACTCAACAATTGGAACGTCGTGGTTTTACAAAGACCTTTCTTGTTCCTGTTGTCGTTCGTGTCATTTGCTTTGGCCTTGCTTTCGTCGGCATGGACACCCCTTTGCCTGTTTCACGTCAAATTACATCGTCCAAGCCTCAGGAGGATCTTGACTGTACCCGAGGGGTTTAGCCATCAACGGGGCTAGGCCCTCTTTGGGTCACAGCCAGCTAATTGTCCCTTAGCCTTTTCGAAGCCAATGCTATTTACGC